GATCCAGAAGATGTTTGGATTCTGGACATGCTCGACATAGCCCACAAAGACAGAGTCTACATCCAACTCTTCTTCTTTGAGTGTTTTAGCCATTGCTTCGCCCATGATTGTTTCACAGTTTAAATAGCCACACTGCGGTGACTCTTCTTCCCTCTCAAAAACTGTGGGAACTTTCATTTTAGGAAGCTCTTGAGTTGGCTTAGGTTCAGCCACTTGATTTTCCTCAGCACCAATTACTGTGATAGAGTACAGGTGCTGTTCTTCCTCAAAACGTTTGATCTCTACATCTAACACTTTGCCAAGCAAGCCTGCCTTTAGAAAACTCAACTGCTGAGTTTTCACCGCTTCAACCTCATCACCCAGGGAGAAGAGTGAGCATGGGAATGCCATGATGGGTGTTGAAAAGAATTCAGGTGGCAACCTGTAGACGTTTTCAACTTTGACAGATTCAAAGAATCCGTAGTCAATGTACAAAACTCGAAGTTGAGAGTTGACTGGAAGAAACTGCACAAGGCCTCTGTACCATTTCTCATCTTTGCCTTTTACTGAACACAACAAACCAAGGTTTTCTGAAGTCTTCTGATTGTGTTCTATGGTTTGGTACTCATTAACATCAGCCAGCTTCTTTGACATTTCCCAAAGATCTGTGTCCACACTGGTCATCTGACAGTAAAACAGCTCAGGGTTAACAGCAGCAGTAACACGCACTTTAGCACGGGTCCCACAACTCAATCTAGGCCCACAGAGAGACAGAATGTCTTCGTATCCCTGCAAACCAGACCGTTTGAAGCAGAATTCTTGTGCCCTTGGCTTTTCAATGAGTAAGTCAGGAACTTGCTCTGTGCTTTGCTTGAGTGGCACCTCTGTGAGCATACCAACCAAGAGGAAGAAGGTATCTGTGTCCACATGTCTCCCGAACCCATGTCTAACAAGATCATTGTTAATTTCCGGGGCTTCCAATAGGAGCACTTTGTGGGGCAAAAAGGCTTTAATGTAACCTGTGACATTTCTTCCAATTAGGTTTGTGAAGTATGCCTCCACTACAGAATGAGAACATCCCTGCGGTAATAGTACATTTGCAAGAAAGCCGCAAACTATCTTGGGAGGCAGGCTGAAAAGGTCGTTTGAACAGGAATATATGAGGGCTTTGTCAACACTCAAGACATTACCATGATCTATGAGGAAAACATCAAATAAGTCTTCTTTTCGGTTCTGAACTCTTCCTCTGTAGCAGCGGCCTGAAGTCAAATCTTCCACGAGGCAAAACTCTCCGATAGCCACTGAAGCTTGAGTCTTTGGTGTGTTCTGTATTTCCCCTTGCAAGATGTTGTAGTCAAGATCACATATGGAAAGGTAATGTCCCTGGAAGTGTATCAGGGTTGCTTCAGGGTTCCAGTCCAAGTGAGTTAACTTGAGGTCCACAGACCAAAGGGCACATAGTGGTGATTGACCAGACCTGAAAATAAAGGTGACTTTTATTATTTACCTACAAAAAACATGTTAATCATTTTGTGAGTTTATCAATTCTGCCGATTGTACGATGCGTATGAAAGCCCGGTGTGTGTCGCAAAATAACTCATAGTTCCCACTTTATAACTAACATTCAACTAACTACAGTGATTATTAAAGCATTTCAATTGCTTTCTTTTTTGTTGTTGCTACAGTAGATTTACAAGTGATGAAAAACAAGTATGTAACAGATTAAAAGAGGGAAATGGCACATTTTAAATATGGTTGTATTGTTAAACTAGGTGCTCGACTAAATGATATGCCACCGACTCCTCAAATTAAAACCTGGAAAGTAAATGACTAAAAATAATCGTAACCTTAACTAATAGCTTAGATATCCAATTTAAAACATAAGACACACTATACAACTGTGCAATGACAATAATGTTGAATCTAATTTAATCTATACTTCATACGGACTTGTCAGCTTACTTTTGTTGTTCGGAGACTGACGACATGGCTGCAGCATCAGTAACATCCAAAACAAAACCTGAAAGAAAAAAGTGAAGATAAGTAAATGTCTCATTAAGTATCATTAAGAAACACACACACAATAAACCAGCGCTGACGTTAACCTTCATATACTAAGAATGTGTAACTTAACACCCAACTTTGACATATAACCGCACTCATAAAAATAAATCCCTAAATCCTTGTCAATAATTATCTTTAAAAATATATATAATGGTGGCAGTATATCATTGCGAAAAAAAAGTTTTAACAACATTATTTATTGACTTTTCATTCCGGTATAATCATTTTGCGCAAAGATGGCACTGTTTGTCAGAGCACTTCATCCTTTTTCATGAAGAACAGCTCCAACGCCTGTGTGTATGGGAATGCCTCTGGTGCTGGTCCATTAACTGCCAGTGTTTCCCACAGATCTGAAATATACTTGGGGGGGGGGTGGTGGTAGCGGGTTGAGGTGACGTGCAACAACATGAACCTTTCTGTTGGTCGCTTGTTAGCAGACCCTTCACGCGATGGCAGAGCGAACAGGTACAGGCAGGGTCCATAATGATAGCCCTATAGTTTAAATCTACTACCCACACATGAACATATGGAAATGGGATTACTATTTTAAAAAAATAAATGTATTTATTAATGTATTTAGGAACCTATCCATGTGATTTTTAGTGGGGGTCGACCTCAAATCCTCTAGGGGGGTCCAGGGGCATGCCCCCCCGGTAAGATTTTATTTTTATTTTGGAGTTAAATGCATCAATCTGGTGGCATTTTGAGGGGAAAATAAAGAGACTAGATCTATGGAAACACCTATATTTAACAGAACTGTATACATTTCAATAATCATAAAATCAAGGCCATAACCAATAACATACCATTTCCAATATGAACAAAACACTGAAACTTGTTTATTTATTTATTTTTGGTTCATTTATAGTTGTGAGTGTGTCTGTGCTCCTGAATCAGCCTCTCCTCCCTCCCTCCTCTCCTCCCTCCTCTCCTTCCTCTCCCTCCTCTCCTTCCTCTCCCTCCTCTCCTCCTCTCCTCCCTCCTCTCCTTCCTCTCCCCCCTCCTCTCCTTCCTCTCCCTCCTCTCCTTCCTCTCCTCCCTCTCCCTCCTCTCCCCCTGCTCCTCTTTGAGGCAGCAGCAAAGACTAGTTTTCTCTCAACAAGTTTTAAAAGTGTATCTTACCTTTTTTCACCTAGTTAACTTTTTATTTAGTTATTCATGCATATTTTACTAATCACATTACATTTCATTTAGCTGACGCTTTTATCCAAAGCGACTTATAATGACCGATTACAGGGACATTCTCCCTGGAGTAACTAAGGGCTAAGTGCCTTACTCAAGGGCACACTAGTGGTGGTGTTCCTGGCGGGATTTGAACTCACAGCCTTCCGATCTTCAGCCCACCTCACTCTCCATTAGACCAATCACTACCCTCTCAAATGGAAATATGTGTTTACATAAATGGTGACCACACCGTTTGAGACCCACTGAGAACTTAGACTAAGTTAACTATCTAAACACTCAGAGAGTCCTTTACCTCACCTGAGCTGAGGTTATCCCGAGCTTGAATGACACACAGAGACCAATCAAGGGCTTTGATTTATGATCTGTATGACAGTGGCCATGTCGGCATCATGTGGACAGCCAGTCACCCTGTGAGAGGCAGGCCACTTAACAGGCCAGAAGGAGGCGAGATCAGAGCAAGGGAGCGAGGGATCATTGTCTACAAGTTAATCGATCGCAGATGGCGTCGTGGTCACGGACGAATAAAAAAAAAAAAATTATTAAAAAAAAAAAAAAAACTAAATGGGTCGCGAAATATACTTGGGCGGCCGTTAACATACCTGGGCGGCCCGCCCAGGTATAGTCTATGTGTGGGAAACCCTGCATGTATATTGCATTCAGCTTGGTGTGCTAGCTTCATTTACATTACATGTGTAAAGTAACTAAGTACATTTACTCAAGTACTGTACTTAATTACAGTTTTGAGAGACTGGTACTCCTGAGTATTTCAATATTGTTGCTACTTTGTACTTCTATCCCACTACAATTCAGACGTAAAAGGTGTACTTGTATTCCACTACATGTGTTTAATACCTTTAGTTACTTTACAGATGTGGATGAATGATGTGAAATATAATCAAGTGTTAAATCAGACTTTAGTTCCACCTGGAGTAAATCCACCAGCTACCCTGCAGTATACAAAGCCATTCAAACTAGCTGCACCTTCACCAGCTTTGAGAACACTTTATGATCAATCATTATAAAACATATCATGGGGCGAAGTCGATAGGGACTTGGCTTGGCAACTGGAAGGTCACCAGTTCAAGTCCCGGCAAGACCAAGTGCTACCGAGGTGTCCCTGAGCAAGGCACCCCACACTGCTCCCCGGGCGCCGTTCAAAATGGCAGCACACTGCTCCTAACACTAGGATGGGTCAAATGCAGAGAAACAATTTCCCCACGAGGGATTAATAAAAGTCCATCTTAATCTTATATTATTCTGAAATGGACCAATCTGTACAATGACTTTAACTATATTTTGATGCTAATACTTGTGTACTTTTACTTGAGTAACATTTTGAATGCAGGACTTTTACTTGTAACAGAATATTCCTACACTCTGGTACTTCTACGCTTACTTAAGTACAAGATCTGAGTACTTCTCCTACCTCTGTTTAATACCACGAACGAGAAGGGTTTTTTCGATCCTCAATGTGAGGTATAACTTTTGCCATCTTGCTAATGTAGCTCACTATTTTAAATTTGAGTGATATTACAGAGCCACAATGATTTTTTATAAATGTCGATATTTTAGTTTGGTTACAGGATACTACAGAATACCCGGACACAGCAAACGTAAGTCATTAGCCGTTTTAGTGACCGTGTAAGTTGACATTCAGAAGAAGTTAGCGGCTAAAACTTGCGACGAGCTAACAATGCTACCTCAAGCTAACGCTAAGCTACAGTGACATAATGGTTCGGCTACACGTGTTTCGCTTAACATCACGGTCGGTTTTGTATCTCAAATAACCGTCAGTGGTTGTAAACACAGACTTATTTCTGATAAAATCCAACCTTATTAACATTCAGGGCCGTGTCTTACCTTTTGTAGCGCCTCATGTCTGAAACCTGTTGTCTAATTAACTTTTGGATGGCTGCAACTCACTTCCGGCTTCTCTTCGACAACCAACGTGCTTATATTTCTTCTTCGCCTCTTTTTTTGTTGATAGGCAAATCTGTGTTGTCAATATCGAGGTTAAATCTTTAAAGTATGCATTAAAGTTGTGTATGAGATATGACCTGGGAGCGCCTTGGGACCCCCCAGTCAGAGCTGGTTGATGTCGCCAGGGAAAAGAAAGTTTGGGGCTCTCTGCTGGAACTGCTACCCCCGCGACCCAACCACGGATAAGCGGGAGAAGATGGATGGATGAGATATGACATTGCACATGAATAAGAGGTAAATAGAATGAAATAAAATACAAATAAATATACATATCCTAAGGAGAAGTTAAAGACAAAACAGTGAATATATAGCATACATATCAATAATGAAGGGTATAGTAGGCCTATATGTAATACACAATATAAATATACATAATAGAAGGCAGTGTACAAGTACTCTTATTTAAATCTTTAAAATATGCATTGAAATTGTGTACGGGAAGAAATATGGTTTCATTAGAAACTAAAATGATTGTTTAACTTCAGTAATCGCATTAAACTAACAATTGCTTTGCAAAACTAAACCTGAGTAGCATAATAAATGTAAAATAAAATACATACGTTTGGGACTGAATTCCAATTAACTTACAATGGGGGTTATCAGAGATGGGAGAAGTACTCGGATAATTACTACTACTTAAGTAAAAGTAGAAGTACCAGAGTGTAGGAATACTCTGTTACAAGTAAAAGTCCTGCATTTGAAATGCTACTCAAGTAAAAGTACAAGAGTTCAGGTTCAGGTTATTTATTTGTACCTGTAGGTAGATTTTGTTTGTAGAGAAAAAGACAAGGGATCCATCCTGACACTAAAAACAAACACAAACAACAGACACATCTCTAATAAAAGGACTAGTAAAAAGTACAAGTATACCCTGCTCAACCAAATCTCAAAATATTTCGAAAACTTTTTAAGAAGGAAAACACTAGTACAAACATGGATATTCAAAATTCATAATTAAATAAATAAAGTTAACCAAGTAACCTCCGGCCCGAAGGCAGAGTGCAGAGGGTGGGAGTCATCGTCTAACTGCTGGATAACCGCTGTAACTGCCTGAGGTACAGGGTCTCCAGGTTTAGCTGTAACTGCCTGAGGAACAGGGTCTCCAGGTTTAGCTGTAACTGCCTGAGGAACAGGGTCTCCAGGTTTAGCTGTAACTGCCTGAGGAACAGGGTCTCCAGGTTTAGCTGTAACTGCCTGAGGTACAGGGTCTCCAGGTTTAGCTGTAACTGCCTGAGGTACAGGGTCTCCAAGTTTAGCTGTAACTGCGTGAGGTACAGGGTCTCCAGGTTTAGCTGTAACTGCCTGAGGAACAGGGTCTCCAAGTTTAGCTGTAACTGCGTGAGGTACAGGGTCTCCAGGTTTAGCTGTCACTGCCTGAGGTACAGGGTCTCCAGGTTTAGCTATAACTGCCTGAGGTACAGGGTCTCCAGGTTTAGCTGTAACTGCCTGAGGTACAGGGTCTCCGGGTTTTGCTGTCACTGCCTGAGATACAGGGTCTCCAGGTTTAGCTGTCACTGCCTGAGGTACAGGGTCTCCAGGTTTAGCTGTAACTGCCTGAGGTACAGGGTCTCCAGGTTTAGCTGTAACTGCCTGAGGTACAGGGTCTCTAAGTTTAGCTGTAACTGCCTGAGGTACAGGGTCTCCGGGTTTTGCTGTCACTGCCTGAGATACAGGGACTCCAGGTTTAGCTGTAACTGCCTGAGGTACAGGGTCTCCAAGTTTAGCTGTAACTGCCTGAGGTACAGGGTCTCCAGGTTTAGCTGTAACTGCCTGAGATACAGGGACTCCAGGTTTAGCTGTCACTGCCTGAGGTACAGGGTCTCCAGGTTTAGCTGTCACTGCCTGAGGTACAGGGTCTCCAGGTTTAGCTGTAACTGCCTGAGGTACAGCCAGGGTCTCCAGGTTTAGCTGTAACTGCCTGAGGTACAGGGTCTCTGGGTTTTGCTGTCACTGCCTGAGATACAGGGTCTCCAGGTTTAGCTGTCACTGCCTGAGGTACAGCCAGGGTCTCCAGGTTTAGCTGTAACTGTCTCCAGGTTTAGCTGTAACAGCCTGAGGAACAGGGTCTCCAGGTTTAGCTGTAACTGCCTGAGGAACAGGGTCTCCAGGTTTAGCTGTAACTGCCTGAGGTACAGCCAGGGTCTCCAGGTTTAGCTGTAACTGTCTCCAGGTTTAGCTGTAACAGCCTGAGGAACAGGGTCTCCAGGTTTAGCTGTAACTGCCTGAGGAACAGGGTCTCCAGGTTTAGCTGTAACTGCCTGAGGTACAGGGTCTCCAGGTTTAGCTGTAACTGCCTGAGGTACAGGGTCTCCAGGTTTAGCTATAACTGCCTGAGGTACAGGGTCTCCAGGTTTAGCTGTAACTGCCTGAGGTACAGGGTCTCCAGGTTTAGCTGTAACTGCCTGAGGTACAGGGTCTCCAGGTTTAGCTGTAACAGCCTGCGGAACAGGGTCTCCAGGTTTAGCTGTAACTGCCTGAGGAACAGGGTCTCCAGGTTTTGCTGTAACTGCCTGAGGAACAGGGTCTCCAGGTTTAGCTGTAACTGCCTGAGGTACAGGGTCCCCAGGTTTAGCTGTCACTGCCTGAGGTACAGGGTCTCCAGGTTTAGCTGTAACTGCCTGAGGTACAGGGTCTCCAGGTTTAGCCGTAACTGCCTGAGGAACAGGGTCTCCAAGTTTAGCTGTAACTGCGTGAGGTACAGGGTCTCCAGGTTTAGCTGTCACTGCCTGAGGTACAGGGTCTCCAGGTTTAGCTGTAACTGCCTGAGGTACAGGGTCTCCAGGTTTAGCTGTCACTGCCTGAGGTACAGGGTCTCCAAGTTTAGCTGTAACTGCCTGAGGTACAGGGTCTCCAGGTTTAGCTGTAACTGCCTGAGGTACAGGGTCTCCAGGTTTAGCTGTAACTGCCTGAGGTACAGGGTCTCCGGGTTTAGCTGTCACTGCCTGAGGTACAGGGTCTCCGGGTTTAGCTGTCACTGCCTGAGGTACAGGGTCTCCAGGTTTAGCTGTAACTGCCTGAGGTACAGGGTCTCCAAGTTTAGTTGTAACTGCCTGAGGTACAGGGTCTCCGGGTTTTGCTGTCACTGCCTGAGATACAGGGACTCCAGGTTTAGCTGTAACTGCCTGAGGTACAGGTTCTCCAAGTTTAGCTGTCACTGCCTGAGGTACAGGGTCTCCAAGTTTAGCTGTAACTGCCTGAGGTACAGGGTCTCCGGGTTTTGCTGTCACTGCCTGAGGTACAGGGTCTCCAAGTTTAGCTGTAACTGCCTGAGGTACAGGGTCTCCAGGTTTAGCTGTAACTGCCTGAGGTACAGCCAGGGTCTCCAGGTTTAGCTGTAACTGTCTCCAGGTTTAGCTGTAACAGCCTGAGGAACAGGGTCTCCAGGTTTAGCTGTAACTGCCTGAGGTACAGGGTCTCCAGGTTTAGCTGTAACTGCCTGAGGAACAGGGTCTCCAGGTTTAGCTGTAACTGCCTGAGGTACAGGGTCTCCAGGTTTAGCTGTAACTGCCTGAGGAACAGGGTCTCCAGGTTTAGCTGTAACTGCCTGAGGTACAGGGTCTCCAGGTTTAGCTGTAACTGCCTGAGGTACAGGGTCTCCAGGTTTAGCTGTAACTGCCTGAGGTACAGGGTCTCCAAGTTTAGCTGTCACTGCCTGAGGTACAGGGTCTCCAGGTTTAGCTGTAACTGCCTGAGGTACAGGGTCTCCAGGTTTAGCTGTAACTGCCTGAGGTACAGGGTCTCCAGCTTTAGCTGTAACTGCCTGAGGAACAGGGTCTCCAGGTTTAGCTGTAACTGCCTGAGGTACAGCCAGGGTCTCCAGGTTTAGCTGTAACTGCATGAGGAACAGGGTCTCCAGGTTTAGCTGTCACTGCCTGAGGTACAGCCAGGGTCTCCAGGTTTAGCTGTAACTGCCTGAGGTACAGGGTCTCCAGGTTTAGCTGTCACTGTCTGAGGTACAGGGTTTCCAGGTTTAGCTGTAACTGCCTGAGGTACAGGGTCTCCAGGTTTAGCTGTCACTGCCTGAAGTACAGGGTCTCCAGGTTTAGCTGTCACTGCCTGAGGTACAGGGTCTCCAGCTTTAGCTGTAACTGCCTGAGGAACAGGGTCTCCAGGTTTAGCTGTAACTGCCTGAGTTACAGCCAGGGTCTCCAGGTTTAGCTGTAACTGCATGAGGAACAGGGTCTCCAGGTTTAGCTGTCACTGCCTGAGGTACAGCCAGGGTCTCCAGGTTTAGCTGTAACTGCCTGAGATACAGCCAGGGTCTCCAGGTTAGCTGTCACTGTCTGAGGTACAGGGTCTCCAGGTTTAGCTGTAACTGCCTGAGGTACAGGGTCTCCAGGTTTAGCTGTCACTGCCTGAAGTACAGGGTCTCCAGGTTTAGCTGTCACTGCCTGAGGTACAGGGTCTCCAGGTTTAGCTGTAACTACCTGAGGTACAGGGTCTCCAGGTTTAGCTGTAACTGCCTGAGGTACAGGGTCTCCAGGTTTAGCTGTAACTGCCTGAGGTACAGGGTCTCCAGGTTTAGCTGTAACTGCCTGAGATACAGGGTCTCCAGGTTTAGCTGTCACTGCCTGAGGTACAGGGTCTCCAGGTTTAGCTGTAACTGCCTGAGGTACAGGGTCTCCAGGTTTAGCTGTCACTGCCTGAGGTACAGGGTCTCCAGGTTTAGCTGTCACTGCCTGAGGTACAGGGTCTCCAGCTTTAGCTGTAACTGCCTGAGGAACAGGGTCTCCAGGTTTAGCTGTAACTGCCTGAGGTACAGCCAGGGTCTCCAGGTTTAGCTGTAACTGCATGAGGAACAGGGTCTCCAGGTTTAGCTGTCACTGCCTGAGGTACAGGGTCTCCAGGTTTAGCTGTAACTGCCTGAGGTACAGGGTCTCCAGGTTTAGCTGTCACTGCCTGAAGTACAGGGTCTCCAGGTTTAGCTGTCACTGCCTGAGGTACAGGGTCTCCAGGTTTAGCTGTAACTACCTGAGGTACAGGGTCTCCAGGTTTAGCTGTAACTGCCTGAGGTACAGGGTCTCCAGGTTTAGCTGTAACTGCCTGAGGTACAGGGTCTCCAAGTTTAGCTGTCACTGCCTGAGGTACAGGGTCTCCAGGTTTAGCTGTAACTGCCTGAGGTACAGGGTCTCCAGGTTTAGCTGTAACTGCCTGAGGTACAGGGTCTCCAGCTTTAGCTGTAACTGCCTGAGGAACAGGGTCTCCAGGTTTAGCTGTAACTGCCTGAGGTACAG